CAAATAATATTAGTGTTAAAAATAATATTTTATTTTTATATTTTTTTATAAAAATTTATTATTAAATAATATATTTAATATATTTAAACTTGTATCTAAAATATATGTGAAATAAATTTTTTTTAAAGGTAAATTGCACTAAATTAGTTGAATCCAGCAATTTCATGCATCTGGAGACAATATTGTTTGCAGAGCCCATATTTTTTAACATTCAATATTATTTGTAGGGCCCATATTATTTAAAGCAAACCGCGTCTTGATGGCATCATCAGCTTTATTGCACTCCTATTATTCTGTCCAGGCAATGACCATCATAGCCCTATTGAAGAAAAACAAAGCAATATCACTACAATACATTCCAGTAAATTTGCGGTGGTTTAGAGTTGTAAAATGAGAAGTGAACTTCAATTCCCAACACCTGCAGTGTCCTAAGCAAATATAACTTGTGTCTTTAGTTTATCCTTGTACAGGCTTTTCTTCAGTTCACATTTCACTGCTATGCAAAGTTCAATGCACATAGCTTTTCAGTTTGAAAAACATTGATCCCCATCAAATTATACATCAGCATAAATGTATCAAAAGAAATCTGTTTTATACTCTAGTTTTATATTAAACAGTTATTTGATATAATAATTTAAAATTAACAGTATACTTAATTCAATAAACAAAAATATTTAAATTTATAAATAATAATAATTATTATTATTAGTTAAATTAGATAAAATTATTTATCTTTACTTTCAAATTACTTTATAAAGTAACCCTCTCAGTGTATGTTATATATTATATTATGAAGTAGTTACACAATTATTGATCCTTATATTTTATCTTATTTTTTTGAAATTTACAATTAGAATATTTTTGTGCCAATTTTTGAGTACCATAATATTAATTTCTTTTTGAACAATTTTAAAAGTGCACCCTATCACACGTTGACATGATATATTCAAATAAATTAATTTATTTATATGTTAATCTCAATATTTGAACTCCAAACCTAATTTACAAGTAACACTGCTTACCATTAGATGCAACCTAGGGTTATTATTGATGACTTTATAATAAAGTAATTGTGCACCTTTTTTATTGTCTTTGCATATTTATTCACAGCATTTGCCAAGCATCTTCCAGGAAATTTCTAGCTATCATTTGTACAAGTTCTCCCCTCTTCTCCTTAGCCGGCTCACTCTGTATCATCTCACAGAATTAGCCTTGCAATTAAACTGATTCACTGCTACTTCTAATTTTCTTGGCTTAGCTAATTAATTTGGTTATCAGTCGGGATCTATGTCTTCTACAATTTCTTAGGTGAAATTTGCAGGTATACCATGTAGATCTTCAATCATGATTCAATTATATTCCTTTTGAGATATAAAATAAAAATATCTAAATTTTCTCACATATGCATGTCCTTATACCAAAAAATCTTCATTCCAGTTAGAATATTTATCAGCTTTATAGATTTTTTTTTTCAAATTGTCTGCTTTTGTGCAATTAATTGGCAGCTACTTGGTTAATAATATGAGTTTTTTTTTTTTTTTTTTGTGTACTTCTAGTAAACATAGAAGTGTCTCCAAGTGATCTTTCTAAATCATGTTTGTCTTCCAGGAAATATTCATTGCATCCCTCTGGTTACAAACAACTAGGCATGAAATATTTAAGCTAAGCGGTTGCTACTTTTAATTTGGTTATGGACATCTATTTCTTCAATTCCGTCCACTAAACTTGCAGGTACACTATTTATCTTTATCTTTAATCTTGATTATCTTATATTTTTATTGATGTATTAAGGTAGAGTGCCCAAATTCATCTCTTAACTATAGTTGACAAATCCAGTTACCTTCAATACAAAATGAATACAAATCACCCTACTAAGTAATGGAATGGGACAAATAACTAAAAGTTTAATATGTAATATTGCACCATGTTATGACTTCGTTAAAAGTCTGACTAAATATTTATTGTTAAAATATTTTGCAACCAATCTCCCAAATGAAAGTATCACCTTAAACAAACAATTCTAAATCAATG